TCGAGAGTGGGGACGGAAAGGTACAGTCCGATCGAGAAATTAGCTCGTTGTCAGAGGTTACACGATCTCGCGCAGTTGTGCTGCGCTTCGAGATAACTTTTGGTTCGAACTGTACTAGACAATGACAAAGGCCACTCGACGATGCTCTCTCTCGGTACACACGGCTCGGCTCTAGCGCGCGTTCCAGTTAGTATATATTTCAGTGTTCGGCCTTCTTATCTCTATTCTTCATGTTCCGTGCATTTCAGATGACTGAAAGGTTAGGGGGGGGCGTCGATTACGGTCATGTATAAGTAACCAGCTGCGATCCGGCGAACGCGTATATTATAGTCGCGACTATCTACGGTTTGCAAATTTAATTCTGCTTACTGGCACACATAAAAGTACGTAAATGATCTCTCGTCGTTGCTACAAATTCCACGTCACACATGAAACATGTCGCGGCATCGAGACGTCCGTTCTATGAATTACTCAGACGGTAAGTAGCTCCACAGCTTGCGCGTCACTTTATCCTGTTGAGAATTTTTCTTTTTAATCCTCCCGAAAGCTCTCGACTTTAATCTTGTAAGATAATAAATCCCTTTTATTGCGGTCTTTTTTATCATCGTCCCGTTTATAAAGACATTTATGAAGAATGGCAGTATAATCTTGGCCATACTGTAGCCGTACTTTACGCCGCGATTAATTATTTCTGTCTATTCTATATTTTCTAATGTGTCGCAAAAATAAGAGGAGATTTATTCTTTCATGCAGAGTACGATGGCTACGACGATGTTTATGGGCATTCAATGGAAGACGATTATTGCGTATCACCTAGTGGTATGTGTTCCACAGATTTCTCTACTACTCTGAATAAAATTTGACCGTTTAGTAATTGTACGTACACGATGTGCACACAGTGGAGCAGTTTTTATTTGATCGAAGCAAACAACAGAATATTGCTTCGTTCATCACAGAGCCAGATATAGTGGAGGACAATGAAGATATCGACGAGTCTCTGCCGGCGTCTGACCAAGAGAAGTGTAACCTTTCTGAATTAGAGAGGGCAAAGTTAGTATCTTGCTTGGAAACAATTAGAAATGTTATAGGTGACACCGTGTCCGATTCTAAATTGAAGGAGAAGATTATTCTGTCGAATTTCGATGCGAACACAGCGCTTGATGCCATTTTGAAGGAATCGTCGCCGAAACAAGGTAACCGCGTCGTGATAAATACTAAAGTTGAGATATTAAAACAGTAATAAGATATTTTTAAAATCCTGAAATTGATTGATCCTGAAACATTTCTAGATTCCGCGGTGAATAAGAAACGATTGGAGCGACATCCAGGTATATATTGCATAAGGTCTCAATTTTGTTCAGTCTTTAATAGCCACGTTTGGTATTGCAAATCTGAGGCATCGGAGTGCTCTTTTGCATTCGAGAGAGAGAGAGAAATGGAGGAGAACCCTTTGGATTTGCAATGCCGAATGCAGCCACTGTTGAAACAATGTGAATTTGGAACCGCTTAATGACCCCGCTTTTGTTTCTTTTTTTCCATGTCTCTTGTACTGAACTTCATCGGTAAGGTAAGGTGTTTCAATTGATATGTCTAACGCATCCGTGTTTACAATACCTAGATTTCCTTTCGAGAAAGAACCTAATTTATCTAAAGATTCTACTTGGACTATGTGTCGTTCAGATAACGTAGATATGTCGAAAGATGTAAATCATTCTCTCAGAACTTTTTCGTCGTTAGCTGGACTTATCTCCCATCATACCGAATCCATAAGTTCAGACGCACCAAAAGTACCTTCTCAGAACAATACAAATGCACAGCCTTTCAGTTCTTTAGCTGCTCTAACTGCTGACTATTTGCAAAAATCTAATGTGGTTGGCAATATAGAATCTCAAGAAAAACAGCGATCATCAAATTCGCAATTTGTTATCCCGAAATTATCAATTAAGAAAGGGGATAGTAAAGAAACGAACTGTGTACATTTACCGAAGTTTAATAATGAAAATAGTAGGAGACAGCTATCGTCTACGAATATTTTGAACAAACATGAAATCGATTTACTCCAGAAAGACTTTTCAAATATAAATATCTTTCCTAAAAGCAATAGCGCAAGAGATGTAAAGTCGAAAGAACAATTTAAAAATCCAATAAATGTTGTAAATGAAATTTATACTCCATCATCTGATGATTTGGTGGATTTAAGTACTGCTTTGAAAGAAGCAGAATTTTTAGCTGACAGTGCTTTTTGCAATACTAATTTGACTACTTCAAGGAAATTCTGTCATAATACGCACAATTCAGAAATATGCCCTGAAGATGACGACAGACTAACACACAATGTACTACCTGTCACTTTAAATTTACGTGTCTTGAGATACGTTAAACTTCCATACACGAGGAAGAATGTTTCGGTATTTGGGAAAACTTTGTGTAAAGACTGGAAGATGAAAAAGCCGGTTCTCAAAGCCATCGTGCAACATTGTAACACGGTTAAACCTTTTGATTTTTCAATTCCGTATCAAAAATCAAAAAGAGCTCAACAATAAGATATATAACTAAGAATAGATAGATGAGGCAGTAGACTAAATATGTAACATATGTACATTTAAGACGCTAATTTTTTTTTTAAATATATAAGAGGAAGGTATGATAGGGACAATTCTATATTTACATTTTCTTTCTACTATACTTTTATACCTTTATTTTTCGTGACTTTTATTATCTTATATTTATATATAGAGAAATTTGAGGGAGGCATTATCCAAGTCATTTTAAATCACTGAATCGTATACATATACGGATACACACATGCAAAATAATTATTGCAAAATGTTAGCATATACCCAGATAAAATGCATGTCTAAAAGACATCTTTAAGACGTCTTTAACACGTCTTTTTGACATATTTATACTGTTAGTATTATAATAATATTATAATTATCATTATACAACAGTAATTGTACATAGTGCGACTCTTACATTTACATATAATGTCTGGAATTCATATTAGCAATGTAGCTATAATACATACATAATGAGTGTAGCTTATAATTTCATGTAGCTTAACACAACTGAGAATTTCCTGATAGGTAACAAATTATCAGCGAAACCTACGTTGCAAGTTACAACACCGTCTACTGTAAAAGTCGTACCGACCGGCACAAAACCTGTTGTGAAGGGTTTTGACTTAAGCGGCGTAGAAAACACAGACTTACTGAGTCCACGTTGTGAGAGCCCATCTTCCAATCGGAATAGTCCTGAAATCAAACGCAAAGATGTACAAAAGGAGAGAAGTACAGCCTCGTCGAAAACGAATAGTCCGAGATGCCAGTCACCCGTGTCGGGGCATGTAACACCAGAATTGGACTCCAAAGTAAAATCTAGTGCATCTAACGAAGAGAAAGTGGACGTCGAGGCGATATACAAGAATAAAAGAGGCGATGGCAAGGAACAGCTTCACTTGGTAGTCGTGGGACATGTTGATGCTGGGAAAAGCACATTGCTTGGACGATTGCTCTGCGATTTGGGTCAAGTGCCACAAAGACTTATCCATAAATATCAACAAGAGAGCAAGAAGATAGGAAAGCAGTCATTTGCCTATGCTTGGGTACTCGATGAAACCGGTGAAGAAAGGTGACTGCAATGCATTATATTATTGAGTTATGTAGAAGAATATACCAGTTATAACACATATTTAATAGAGAGCGAGGAATAACGATGGACATAGGCCACTCGAAGTTCGAAACAGACACAAAATGTATCACTCTCCTAGATGCACCTGGTCACAAGGATTTTATTCCAAATATGATAAGTGGTGCTACGCAAGCGGATGTAGCTTTGTTGGTAGTCGACGCAACCAGAGGCGAATTTGAAACTGGATTCGACAGCGGTGGACAAACGCGCGAACACGCTCTGTTATTACGCTCTTTAGGTAATCTTTCGCAGTTTTGCGATTTTATTGTGGAAAAGAAATTCATACTTTTAGCATAAATTCTTGTGCTACTTTGTCTTCTTGTTGAATATTCAGGAGTATTGCAACTGGCAGTAGTGGTTAACAAGTTAGATACTGTCAATTGGTCTAAAGATAGATTCAATGAGATAGTGGACAAAATGAGTGTGTTCCTGAAACAAGCTGGCTTCAAGGATACCGTCACCTTCGTACCTTGCAGCGGTTTATCTGGAGAGAACATTGTAACAAAACCAAAGGAACAGCTCTCTAATTGGTAACATCTCGACACACGCACGCGCATACATACACACATACTGCGTACACGCTATTATCTAGTTCTTACGGGATAATTTCGCAGGTATACCGGACCTACTCTAGTCAACATTATTGATAATTTCAAGTGCCCAGAGCGGCCTTTAAATAAACCATTCCGTTTTTCGGTCAATGACATATTTAAAGGCACTGGATCTGGATTCTGTGTATCCGGTCATGTTGAAACTGGTATGGTATCAGTGGGTGACAAGGTTTTAATACTACCTCAAAATGAAATTGCAGTCATCAAAGGTCAGTGACCGAACTGTTGTTAGATCTACGCGGCAGTGAATCATCGTATAGAGATTACGTATCTTGTTTGTCTTTGAATACGTCCTAGGTCTCCAATCGGATGAAGTTTCGACGACAAATGCGTTTGCCGGTGATCATGTTGCCCTGACATTAGCAGGGATTGAGCAACAAAACGTGGGTATCGGCGATATCATCTGTAATCCGCAGAATCCAGTACCCGTAACAACCTGCTTTCAAGCGCACGTTGTTATATTCGCAATTGCGAAACCGATCACGAAGGGGCTTCCAGTGGTGATGCACCAGCAGTCTTTGGTACAGCCGGCGGTTGTTACAAAATTAATAGCGCAACTTAATCGAAGTACCGGTGACGTGATCAAGAAGAAGCCACGTTGTTTGCCGAAAAATTCTAGCGCTATTATTGAGGTCGCAACGCAAACGCCAGTCTGCATGGAATTGTACAAGGATACTAAACAGCTAGGTAGAGTTATGTTGCGATTAGAAGGTACCACCATTGCAGCTGGTCTAATTACGAAAATTTTGTAATTCTGATGAGATCTGAAAGAAGTCTCGAATAATGTAACACAAGTTACATATACATAGATAGAAAAGTTTTACTTTCGTGTGTGCGCGCGTGCACACGTATGAAATATCTATAAATCACACAAAACAACATATATAAACTCCATAGGTTGTTAGTTTACGTACAACAGTGCAGAGAACTTTACACAATTATTTAAGACTTTTTTCCTTGATTATAATGTATCCTAGAGTATATTTGTAACTTATATCTTGAACAAATTGTGAAACTCATTTGGCATATTCAATAAAGATACGATTACATTACTTTTATCAAGGATTTATCAATTACTTTTTATATTGTTTATTAGATATTTATGTCTGACCAAAGATTTGTGATGTTGTGTATCATTAAAGAAATAATCCCAAGTTACTAAGGTTTTAACATTATGTATTTTTGTACGCTCGTATATTACATGTGACGCTTATATGAAACTAATTCTACAAAAGTTACAGAAGTCCTTTAATAACAAATTCCCTTTAATGAGGAAGTTCTAATAATTCCGATAAATACATTAACTTTTTTATAACAAAAGATATATTGCGTAAATCGACACAACCCATACAGCACCAAAGCTTTCAGAAAACATTGTTGCAATGTTGCAATGTTTCTAAAAGCTTTGGTGCTGTATGGGAAATACAATTATACATCCACTTCTCGGTTATATTCCATTTCAATACTAGCTACTTTAGTTTTTCACATTAAAATGTATATAAGAAATATTTTTGCTTTTTCTATCTTGCGCAACTGCTACAACCACCAAAAAATGGAATGTCAACATTGTTCCCTGTATTCGGTCTACCTAGCCTACGTGTTGGAGGACGTGGCCTGCATAAAATAAATAATTATAAAAATTATATATATATAATATATATCCATATATGTATTTATCATCTGATTGTGAGATGTCTGAAAAAAAATACTATACCCAGAACCTGGACGGTAGTCTCTTCCATGTTGACTTCCCGATCCGTTGCCAGGACTGACCAACGTCTGGAAACTAATTCCAACATTATGTTATGCGTATAAAAAAAAACGGAGAATGCGGTTAATTTATCGAAAAGTCATGATTAATCATACAGCATTGGATCGTCATACGGTAGATCATACACATAGCACTTACAACATGATGATCATATAAATTATTCCCGTAAAGAATCCGAGAACCCTTCTCAATCCCCACGGAGTAGATTTTACCACGTCACCGTCTACAAGCAAATTACACGCAACTTGTTTTTGTATGCAAGAAATTAATTAGGTTAGATTAGGTTATAGTATATTACCATCCGTCACATAAACCATATTTGAAGTAACACGTTTGTTGGCTCGTCACTTTGCGTAAATCGCGCGTAGATACAGTTTATTTTCAACTCCTCGACCCTTGTGACATACAATTTTGCACGCAATTCTGCGGAACTTACATATGTTATTTTTTTTTAGGAGTCAACAAGAGCGACGGGCGAACTCTGAATCGATATTGGAGACCTCATACGGTGGCAGTGCGAAACTTCGGTTTCAGGATAACATAGAGACCGTAGATAACTAGTACCAGAGAGAAGCCTCTCCGGTGCATGTCTGTGCTCCTGAAACGGTATGTATCAAGTAAAAGGCCGGCGTGGCCGCCTCTCGGGTATCTCTTTGGCGAAACTTTTTTTGTCATATTTCTTACAAAGCTTAGTTTCCGCCGAATTTTGCATTTTGTCTTTTGAAACATTTATAATAAATAAAATATAGCTCATGCCAACTACACCTGAACCAAACTGAGCAGCTGTACAATTCATACATTTTTTATTAACTCTTTTAAAAAAATCGCTGTTTAGAGAAAATCTTACGATCATACAGATTACGAATATCACAGTTATAATATGATTTTATCTGTATTTTGGCCGTGCGACAACATAGAATCCGTAATTCACAGCTGACCGACAGAAGTCTCCATTAATGTCGGATCTCCTGTTGACCCTTAAACAGTATACGAAGAAAAGCCAAGTACCTAGATCACGCTGTCAAAGTACTTCTGGGCTAGAAGCGTTAAATACAATAAAATTTCATTTTTCTTAAACGTTGAAGTGACACAGTTATATATAATTATTTCTCGTTTCTCTTTAATTATAATAATTTTTTATTATTCTGATTATATATATATATATATATACTCGCTGATTATATCTATTTGTAATTTGTGTGGCCAGAAACAATGAATCCAATTACTTTTATTCGTATTGCTTATTGCGTGTCTTCACTTTGATCCAAAGTCCACCATGTGCTCTGACCGTCATACGAAATTTGGCTATGACCTTCTCCTTGCCGAGGATCGGCTCTAATCGACACTTTCTCAAAATAGCGCTGATGACTGATTTCATCTCGAGTGTGGCGAATTTGTATCCTAAAAAGATGTGAACAAGAAACAATATGTCACACGATATCTTGAAAAAATTTTGAATCTTATAATGAAAGTATTTTTAGTGCCTTTAACAGAGTCAACGAATCTGAAATTTTAATTTCTCTTTTTCTCGAAACACCTCTCTTTGACTAATATATATTTGTTTCTTTCACCGATGCAATTGCGAGGTCCAGCGCTAAACGGTATATAAGCGTAGGGATGTCGTCCCGCGGAGTTTTCAGGGCTAAAACGTTCCGGTTTAAAATCATGAGGATCAGGAAAATGTTGGGGCAAGCGATGCGTGCAGTACGGCGCTATAAACACGCCACAACCAGCCGGTATTACGCGCTCTCCTGCATAATACAAGGTGACGTCATAATCATAGTATAACTATAGCATTAACTATATTCATATTCTTTCGTTCTTGTAACTAGTATGTTTACTCTCTGTCGGCCTTTTAATCTTTTCGGTCCCGATCACGTGGTATTCTGCCATGGTTTTGGTCAGAACCCATCAGCCCGCGCGCACGCGTGTATATGTGTGCGTGTGTGTAGTACATACATGAAACATTTTTGTAAAAGGTATAAAAAAAAGATACCTGGGGTGGTGCATTAAAATGACACACCCTGTATATATTATCCACGCAATAGTATTCAAAAGATTTCTTTAATTTTAACTCAAAAGTGATCATAAGCAAATAAGTTATACAATTAGAAACTTGAAAAAACTACGTGAAAGTCAATGGTATTCGCAAAATCGTACGAAATGATTATCGTGGAGATTTTTCTTCTCTAAATTTTACCTAGTCTTACATCCTCTCCGAGTCTCCTGGCAAAAAGTGGCACGCTAGGATACAACCTCAAGGATTCCTTGATGCACATGTCCAAACACTTCATCTCCCTGAGATCCTGCATAGTTGGTGATCTTCTGTCGTCGCCAAAGATCTCATTTAATTCTACAACACATCTGTCCTGCCATTTGGGATTATTTGCAAGAAGGAAAAGCGTCATCGCGGTGGCAGTACCGACTGAGTCTTGGCCGGCCAACATAAAGGTGCAACATTCCTCGATGATATCCTGCTCAGTGAATTGAGGATTTTTGTCATTGATTTCGACCATGTACTCAAGGAGGGACATTTTTCTAGTTGCCCTGTCATCAGCGACTAGGGGTCCGTTCCTTTGCAGGAACTCGCGTTTCTCCTTCATTTTTCTGAGGCAAAAGTCGAACAGATCCTTCCGCTGTTGCTCCTCCGATTTCCCAGCTGCTGTCAATCGGTAAATCCAGTCGATTAGCAGCCACGGTCGTGCAAATCTATACGGCACCATAACTTGGCCTCTGTTTCCAAGATACATCATTGTTAGTTATTCGTAGGCATATGATATTGGATTCCAAATTACATTGGCATAAGCACGTCGGAAAGAAAAGAGAAGGAACCCACGGTAGTATACAAAAATGATGTTTCTACGTCAAAGTATTAAAGTTGAACCGAATGACGCGTTCCTTATTCTGATGCAAGAACATGGTTGTCCTAAATAGGCCCGTGCCATTGTCAACTCGCGTAAATACACGGTCGGTCTTGAAAAGCTTACAATTGTATAATTTTTTATTTTGAAAATTTTTAAGTTCGATAAGAAAGTACGCCAATGATGTTGACTACTGTTTCGCATTGTATTATATATATTGGATTGTGCTTACTTTCTAAATGGTGTGTCGTCCTCACTGTCGTTGGCTCTTTGATTTGCCGGCGTTCCCAGAATTGTCTCTGAAATAAGCCTCATTGTGTCACATATAATATTTGGCGTCGGAGTAAGTACTTTATCCCCTTCGAGATGTCGAAATGTACGGAATAATAATGACTACGTTTCCACCGAGTGTCAGAATCGGGTTGGGGCGAGCGTTTTTGCGGTGGAAACACCAAACCGGGTCAGAATCGGGTTGGGGTTTGGTGTTTCCACCGCAAAAACGCTCACCCCAACCCGATTCTGACCCGACTCTAGCCCGACTCTGACCCTCGGTGGAAACGTAGTCAATGGGATGAAAGGTTTGGAAATGCGTGTGGTCTCTCTAGAGGCATATTAGCAGTACGTAAATAGTGAAAATCATCAAAGGCACAGTATACGAATACGGGCTACTGCTTCAACATGGATTCTCATGTTAATTAATGTGCTGAGCGTTTCTTTGAGTAAACGAAGATAAAAATCTTAGATAATAAAACAGAGGTTTCTGTTTGTGTAAAATATCTGCCCTTGGTAAACAATTTATATCACGTACCGATCAATATATCGTAGACCGAGTTGTTGATGAACACAGTGACATTTATATCCTCTCCGTCTTTCTCGAGCAACTTGTCGACCAGACGTTCAGCGCACTCGCCGAACGTTCGGGCGAATCTTTCGAGCATGTTGCGGTGGAAGGCTGGTTGCAGAATTCTTCGATGTACCTGCCACTTGTCGACGTCCCGCGTAACTAGACCCTTGCCCAAGAAGTTGTCCAGCAGTTTGTAGAAAAATATCTTTCGCGTATGCTTCATGCTGCAGAGTACCATTTGGATGTCCTTCGGTTCGACGAGCACAACGTACGGCAAAAGTGTCAACCATATTCGAAAAACGCTACCGTAATTCGGCGCCTCGTTTGTCATCCTTTCAATCACTGGGAAATCAATCGAGTCTTTTACGTACGAATTACTCATTTATCGTTTTTCAATAGAATTAAAAGCCATTTTACTTTCGGGTCGTTGCAATGTTCACGGTATAAATAAAGACCAATTTTAATTGGTTGACGATTAATTAACAACAATGTTTTAGTAGCATTGAATCACTCACGATTTCCTTCGAGAACAGCGTTCACATTGCCAAGAATGGGCACTGTCTTCGGTCCATCAAGGGTGAAGATAAATCTGAGGATTCTGATCTGATTCTTCAATGCGTATATAATGTAGATAACGACTAGTAAAGCGAGATAGGTCCACATTTCTCCTGATATACGATTCAGCTGATTACAAGAAATGTAATTTCCATGTCAGTGATACATGGATAATAGATTACGCGCGAAACAAAAAAAATAGGAATTAAAGCTTTGTGTCTAGTAACAAATGCTATCAACCATTCGCTTTATTCCTGCAACGTATTTTTGGAGATGGCATGGACATTGCAATAAAATTTTATTGTTTGCTCAGACAACGGACATGCAAATCGTTAAGTAATAAATTAGGCTCAACAACTTCATGATCCGAATTTGTTATTATGCGCACTTATGTTGAATCGCGCGATATCGTGGCCTCGCAATATAGATAATATTTATTTGTAGCGTTGTATCATCGCGAATAGCATTGGTTCGCCTCTCAAATTCCGCAAGGGACGTTTACTTCTTCACATTAAGGATTCATAATGGGATACCTGTTAATTGACGTGATCGAATCATGCAAGTAGAGTGTGTCGCAGGTACGAGTGATCGCGTATACGGATTGCATAACAATAAGTTTCGCAGCAAGAATAAATCAGGAATATTAAGTAAGAAGCTCGTCAATATTTATTAACTTATTAAAGTCTAACACTTAAACAATTAAACTGTTGACTATGAATATTCATAAATATGTATGTAACGCGAATATTAGGCTAATTTTAATTAAAGTTATTATATAACGGCAATTTCAAAATCGATCATGATCATCAGGATTGGGGACTTGTTTGCTGTTAAAAGATAAATGTAAAAGCGTTCATCGGTTTTGGAACTTGTTCACGGTTAAAAGACAAATGTAAGAGCGACGATTTTTTTTCACTGCTAAAAATGTGCGAACTGACAAACACACATAGGTGGAAACAGCTTTGTGCAAACTCATTCAGTTTTCCAACTTTTCATTCATTTATTTTGCACGGAAGAAAGTGTGATCAAATTATTGTTTTAAGAGATAGGTACTTACAGCCTGGAGAAAGTTGTAATAGAACATGGTGCTTTGAATTCGATCCACATGTGCGCACATAAAAATCATACAGTGCGTTAAGTGAAAGTTATCAGTATGACATCAATCAACCAGCTCGCGTCCATTCTTATATGGTGACTATGTGCTTGTAGGATGGCGTGGCTGCAATACTTTTCTCCCCACTGAAAAGCACATAAAATGTGTATAACCAGTAGTCACTTCACCTCACGCGCCCTTACATTTTCTCCTCGATGCATATTTATGTTCTGATATTTGAAATCTCAAAAATTTACATTTCAAAAATTTCTTTTATATTGTATTAATATTTCAAAATATCGATTTAATCTTGCTCATTGGGGTATTACTCCCGTTTATGTTATGTTTATCCGAAATTTATGTCTATTTCTTTAACCATCCTGTTTATAGCACCGTGTGCGATATTTAGTGGCTAAACAATTCGTAACAAAGTTAGACGATTAGTCACTTCTTTCTAATCAGTGATATTCGTCACCTTATTCGCTGCCAACCTGGCAAACATCTATATTTTTAGCAACAATAAAATTATTCAGGCTTACTAAGACGTTACAAAATTACTCGCGCCATCGTAGAATATCGTCCTTGATTCAGGAGAGAATTCGATTCTACGCAGTATACATATGTGCAAAACAACGCGTGCACGGAATCGATCTTTAGCAATTGGTTCCGCGTGCTGTTTGCCGATTTCGGGCATTTTATTTAACGCGACAAATCGGTAACGGGGTTGTAGCGCGTGGCACCCTCACCTGCTGAAGCGACGCCGTAAAACCATTATTCCCTGCGGGGACTGGTCGGAAGTCACCGCTGTCAAAAGACACTTGCGCGGCAAGAGATCTACATTCACGATCGATACGATGAAGTGACTAAACCTTGTCACCTGCTCGCTAGTAGTTTATATGTGCGGGGGAGATGGGAGATCGGGCTGTCTCATAGCTAGGCTCGTAACCCATCTCTCTGCTAAAATCGACAATTAACGCTCCGATCACGTATCGTATGATGCGCGCGTGCAGGCGTGCGTCGCGAACAGCCCGGGTGTCCCAGGTGAAGCGATTCGAGACGGGGCGAAGCGAAGCGAGACGAAGTAATCACCAAAGAGGATGTTTCACGTGCAAATCCTTCTGTTTCACGGCCGTCGAAGGGCAACGCGGAAAACTCAAGGAAACGACCTCAAGGCGAAACGACTACCGAGCGCTTCCACAAATCGCGCGCGCGCGATGCATAATTCAATCCGGTCGTAGCCGCGCGCGCGCGCGCTTAATTTTTTGGCGCGGCGCTTCTCGCCCCGTCATATAATGATTGATGTTCGTTCGATTTTCCAGGTCAACGGATGTGTGTGCTCGTAGGCGTGCGGGCGTTTGCAAGCATTTGTTTCGAGTTCAACAAATGCACGTCTAATACCCTATATTTCGAAATCACTGGACGTTTCAACGTCAACCGATTCCCTTTGATACCTCGACGTGGGAATAAAAAGAATATCGAGCGCGAAGAGTCAGTAGTTTCGCACGTAATAGGCTTTGAATGGTAAATGAAGAATTGAAAGTATGCTTGAAAGTACAACGAGACAATTGGATAGTAGCTTTCTCTCTACAAAGCAAAGATTAAGACTGATAATTTCACTCATCGTCAGTTTATTTTTGCATATCAGATACCCCAGTGGGAAATGATTCGTTGATCGATGTCGAATCGAGGTCAATTTGACGTTGTCGATGTCGAATCGATATCGTTTCATTGATCGATGAATCATTTCTCACTGGGACATGCGATAATGATCTTCATAGAGTTGGGCCTTTATACGTAAAATATAATATTCAGTATTAATTTTTTGAAATAAACCGGACAAACAAAAACACAGTAGGTATACACGCACCGGCATAAATGCTGTCCCTATCCTTGTGAGGTGCACGCACACAACTAGAGTCCCTGTAGTTGTGTGCGTGCACCTCACAAGGATAAGGACAGCATTTATGCCGGTGCGTGTACACGTGTGTGTGTATACATTAAGTGCCGCATCGTGTCCGGCAAAGAGGATCAAATAGAGTGGAAGCTGGCCGTGTACCGCGATTCGTGCCATCTGGCAGTTCGGAGACGCACTACGTGCAATACCCTCTCTCTCTCACTCTGTAATGAGTGAGAGAGATAACCTTCATTGTAACCGTTGCGCTTACCCCGCTTACCGTTGAGGAGAGGAGTGGGGGGATTTAGGATGGCCTCTGAGCTGGTAGACGGCTCTGAAACTCGGACACGCTATGTAACATTGTACTCTTAAGAGGATGCTAAAGTCGTCTGTTTTACCGACACATTCAAATATAGTTTTTGCGCTGCTGAATCTTTTTATTAGTTTTTACGCCTAAAATAATACCAGGATAAGTTGCGGACCGCATAGCAGAACGTTTTTATACTTGAAACACTCGGGTCAGAAGTCTAATGAGAAAGATATTGGTATTTGAAATTTTCAATTTTTTAATCGTGAGCAATTTGAATTTGGCTTTATAAAATTACAAAATTCTTCCACGCGATTACAGTGCGCGTAAAAACAAAGCGGGGGGTTCACGATTTTATATAAAAAACGAAGAGAAATTAAAAATATCGCTTTATAAGTAATTGTGGTTAGGCTTCACATGCTGATATTTTTAATTTCTCTTCGTTTTTTATATAAAGTCGTGAACCCCCCGCTTTGTTTTTACGCGTACTGTAATCGCGTGGAAGAATTTTGTAATTTTATAAAGCCAAATTCAAATTGCTCACGATTAAAAAATCGAAAATTTCAAATATCAATATCTTTCTCATTAGACTTCTGACCCGAGTGTTTCAAGTATAAAAACGTTCTGCTATGCGGTCCGCAACTTATCCTGGTATTATTTTAGGCGTAAAAACTAATAAAAAGATTCAGCAGCGCAAAAACTATATTCGAATGTGTCGGTAAAACACTCTCTTCTAATATTTGTGCATATATCTATAGAAAGTGTGTGATTGTTTATTACTGTTCCCCCAAAAGTGATTGTGTCTTAAGACTGAAAAATAAAAAAGCACAAGTGTTGGAAACAGCATATAAAAGTTCGCACAATAAACCGTGTTTTTGATTATGAAGTAAAAAGTTTATGAATAAATTCCGAATATTAAAGAAATCGTTTACATGTGCGAAAAACAGAGATTAATATATTGATAATCTCCTTCCATGTTACCGAATTTTCCATACCAATAAATGTAAAAAGGAATCATTCATGGCCGCTCTCAGGGAGCAAACTCACGGAGCGAAACGGTGTACGCAGAAAATCGCGGAAACGAGCGCCATGACCAATCACAAGCGTTCCGCTGTTTTCGTCATTGGTCGAGGCTCTCGTTCCGCGATTTTCTGCGTACACCGTTCCGCCGCTCTATGAGTTTGCACCCTCAGGTTTCTCTCTGGCTTTACTCCTTGCAAGACAGAGGAAGAAAGTCTCCGTAAATCTTCTCTCTCTTTCTCTCTGCACAATCTTCAGCTTATTTAATTGAATGCTCGGTCTACAGTTGCTATATGTCTATAAGTTTGATACGTAATGAAACTTCTGAAATACGTATCAAACTCAACCCTGGTTACAACCATCGGGTAACCGTTTATCACTCTTTGGTTAACAGCATTGTGTTTTTTTTTTCCTAAGAGGAACAATTACAAAGAGCTAAAGGATGTTAATCCAGGCTGTGTTCAGAAACATCGCCCGAGTATCACTTTATACAGGGTGATTCAAAATAGGTAT